ATTATTATTATTATTATTATTATTTTACGTAAAATTTATTAACGTGGCAGAAGTAATAAAATTACTATTAACTCGCACGCAGAAAAAAAAGAAATTTTTTTTTTATTAAACGTACACCGCAAAAAATTATTATTTATTATTATTATTATTATTAATATCGAATACGGTTTTTTATTAATAAATAAATAAATTATTTAATAAGTTATTTAATAAAAAATAAAACAAGAAACATAAAAACATAACAAAATAATGTTTCCGTCGGCAAGTTAAAGCTCAAACATCCGACGGAAGAAGAAAATATGTTTTAACTCATCAAGTCTGTTATGCGTGGGATTTTTTTTCTTTTTCATTTAAATTTCAGTATAAAATATAATATAATATTATAATATTATATTATAACGATAAATTTTTTCTAGAATGTTCGATATTTTTAATGAAATTTACCCTCAAAATATTACAAATAATAATTAAGCTTTTCATATAAGCTTTTTTTTACGTTATTAACGGTCAATACATATATATATATATATATATATATATATATATTTATTAAATTATATACTAAAATGAATATAATATATACATATTATTAATTTATATTATTTAAAAAAAATATTTATTTATGTAAAAAAAAGTTCATTAAATTTGTTATTTAATTATAAATTAATTTATTATAATGAATTAATTTTAATTTTTTTTTTACGGTTGAAAAAATGTCTGTCGACGTGCATTTATATTATATATTTTATATATATTATTATAATATAAACGTATATTTTTCTATAATAAATTTATTTTAATAATTAAATGTTAATTTTTTTTTTTTTTAGAATAAATAAGAAGAAAAAAAATGCGCGCGAGTGTGTGTGTGTGTGTTTGTTAAAGCACGAAAAAGATTTTTAAAAAAAAGTTTATATTATAAAATGAACGTGGAAGAAGAAAAAGAAAAAAAAATGTTACTTTTTTTTTTTTTTAATAAATGACTTATTTTAGTTGGAATTGATAGAATAGTTTAACAAAAAAAAATGGAACCATCCCTTTGCTAATCAAGAAAAGAGAAAAAAGTTAAAACGAGGGGTAGAATTTTTTTTTTTTAAGTTTCAACCCCTCGAATGAATGAATGAATTTTTATACGTTATTGAAAATATTTTTATATACCGACGTTTTAATATTTTCATCAATTTCACTTAAAAACCTTTAATAATAATAATAATATTAAATATTTTAAGGTACGTTAAAAGCAGAAAACTAAAAAAAAAATTTTGTTTCGGATTTATCAACCCTGGGACCCATCTTAAAGAAAAAAATTTCATTTTGTAAAAGTTCACGAGATTATTATCATTATTATTTGCATTTACGCAAAACAAACGAAAGGATTTTACGTAAAAAGAAAAAAAAACGTGGAAATAGACTAGATACGATTGATGTTTATGACACTTTATTGGTAAATTACTTAGGAAGGAAGAATCTAAGGTTGTTGGTACATTTATTCGAGTAGTGATAACGATAAAAAAAAAATTATGAAACGAATTAAACGTACGACCTTGAAAAATTTATTATACTAACAGAGTGTTATCTCATTAGAATAAAAACACGTGAACATTGACCTAGGACTTGAGTGTTTTAACTACCAAAACAAACCATAAAATAACAATTTAGACCCTTGTTGAACCAGCCATTAAAATGTTAAATTCATTGCGCAGAATCTTAATACATTTTTTAAAAACCCGAAGGCAACACAAAACCCTATTCATACGTTTTTATTATTATCATTATTATTATTATTATTATCATCATCATTATTATTACATTTGCATTAAACATTTACAATTTGTACATGTGTATATACTTTTTTTTTTGAAATTTACACCGGAAATAAAATTGTTTCCTTTTTATCTCTTATATACGATTTCTTTGAAGAATTTAAATAATAAAAATTATCAAATTTATTTATTTATTTTTAATAAAAATTATTTAAACAATTTAAATGAGAGAGAGAGTTTGTAAGAGAAAAAGAAAAAATTGAGTGGGAGAGACGCGTGGGAGAAAGAAATCAAAATGGCGCCAAAATAATTTTTAAATAGAAAATTTTACGTTTTCCTTTTTATTTTTTTTTATTTTTGCGACCGCGCGAAAATTATTATTATTATTAAATTGATGGCGTTAATTGCGAGTCGTGTAAATTTTATTTTTATTTTTATATTTAAATGAATCGTACCTGAAATCGTTTGAAATTTTATTATGTGCGTGCGTTCATGTTGTCTTCCTAGTTTGTTTTTTTTCTTTTTTTTTTTTTTTATACCAAAACTAAAAATTATGTTTGATAGTATGTATTTAATTCGAGATCGTAAAAATAATTTTTTTATAAATATATATTTTTTTCGATTTAAGTAATAATGATAATAATAATAACAATTTTTTTTTTTTTTTTTTTTGAAGACTTGAGGGGAAAAAAGAAAAAAAAATAAAAAAATTTAAATAAGGAACAATGGCGTTCCTAATAAGAACCTATAAGAAAGTAAGAATGAAGTTTCATTACTCAATTTAAGATGACAGTTTTTTTAAACATGTTTATTTAGTTTTAAAAAATCATTTTATATATTCTAAATAAATATATATGTTTGTATTTTAAAAAGAGTTTATTTTACATGGGTTAAAAATTTCTTACCAGTTATTTATTGTCGTTTTTTGTATCCTTTTTCTCAAATAAATTTAAAAAACACACGTTTACGTTATAAAAGGTAAAGTTAACTCCGTCAACTTACATTTAAAAATAATAGTCATTAATATATAGCGACATCGCTCGTAATTTCCTTGAACTAATAAACAACGCAACGCACTCTTTCGAAACTTTAATGAACTATTACAATTTTCTTTTAAAAGTGAAACAAATGTAACGAAATTCTTTTTTTCATTAAAAAAAAAAAAAATTAATTAATAAATATTTATTAAAAAAAAAAAATTATGTTATTATTTTAATTTAACAGATATTTCATTTTTAAAAACTTAAAATTACAATTTACTACGTAAACCGGAAATATAAAGTGCTTCTACCTACAGTCGAATTTTATAAGTTTTAACAAAAACATAAAATGGCGGTCATCATAATAATTACTTTTCAACCCCGAAAAATTTATAGACTCATTCAAAATTAATTATAAGGACTAGAAAAACGATTTTTAAAAATTTTTAATAATTTTACGATGCAATTTAAATAAATATATATCAAAATGTTAAATTTTTTTTCGCGATTAAATAACGATTTAAATTTCTTTCCTTTTGAACAACAATTAAAACCGGTCAAAATTGTTTTTTTTTTTAGTTATATTTTTCATCGATAGATGTCATACCGAGAACCAAAACAAAATATTTGTATAGTTTTACATTAATTTACTGATAATGTTATCTCTCCCTCTTTCTCTTTAGTGCATTAATAACGTGTAATAACGCATCACGAATATTTTAAAATAAGACATTTATTATCATTATTAACATTAAAAAAAAAAAAAAATTTTAATAAGGTTAATGACGTA